CTCTCTCCATCTTTCCTCCCTCCCTCCCTCCTTTCTTTTCCTTTCTGGGCCTTTTATGCCCCCATGTAGCGTTTTTAGTCCATTTCAGTCAAAAAGAAACATTGACAGAAAAAGCTAAAATCCCCTTTGTTTTGAGTGCTGTCCTTTGTTCCCCTAACATCAACGTGGTGCCCTCCAGAGCCTTGACCTAACCGCCCATCATCTACCCTTAGGGGATGATGGGACTTGAGGTCCGTCCATTTGGCAGGGGCCAAGCCTGGTGTAGACTGAACTTAAGGAGGGAACTGCTTCCAGTTCCTTCTGCATCTTAGCATTCCCCCTTTACGGAGGTGGTCATCCCAGAGAATCACCTAGGGAAATGGGGTGGTTCGTGAGCTTCAAGCTTCTCCAGATTTCGCTGCTTGCCTTTTCCACTGTTTCGTTTCAACGGGAGGAGCCTATGCTCTTGTTGCTGCCGAAACAGCCTTGCCAACGGCTCGGCCGGCCGTGTTGGGCAGTGCTTGATCCAGCCCCGTTTGAATTGGGCTTTGACAACCGAATGCAGGATTTTTGAGTTAGGAGAGGGGTGGCCTGCTGTCAAAAACAGAAGCCTCTGTCCTGGAGATACAATCTTGGTCTCCTCCCCTTCTTCTTCCCACGTCGGCTGGCCCGCTTTGCAGTGGGGGTGGGAAGATTCCTCAGGACCGGTGTTGCCCTCGGAGCCCCGGAAACGCCCTTCTCAAGTGCCGTCTTTCTGTCTGCGTGTCTCCAAACAGGCAACTGATGCCACCGCCGGCGTTACCAGTGACCGGGATGAAACCGGAGTCTGATGACAGGAACGGGTCCTTGGGGGGCAGCAACGGTGAGCGTGCGCGGCCGAGAGGCTCGGCTTGTGTTGGCCTTCTGTCCTGCAGTGGCTCCTGGGGGCCTGCTCTGGCTGGCACCGCCTCCCGGCCCTAAGCCACGAGGCGCCTCCAGCTTCTCGCTCTGATGTAGCGGCCCGTCCGGGAAGATCTCTGTTCGGTTTAGTGCCTTAGCTTCCGCCGAAGCCCAGAGCGGAAGCTAGGTTGTATTTGCCATCTCTTTCAAGATTAGCAACACACATACACACGCTTACACACTTACACTTCCTTCCAGGAAAGGATCCCTCAGCTCTGTGTAAGACATCTCTCTCATTCACCTAAATGCCCAACTGCAGAATGTACCACGACTGCCATCGAATCGCCCAGTTCCCATTTCTCTCCTCTCCCCCTGCTGTCATGATTCCACGGCCTCCCCATCTTACAGCCACGAGGACGCCCTTCATTTTTTCTCAGAAAGCCGCGCTGGCCCCTCGTCGGGCAACACCAGGAAGCCCAGCTCAAGGCTGGAAGGCGGTGACCTCCATGTTTTGAGGCCGGGCGTTGAGCCAGAGCCAAATCAAAGAGACTGCCCCGAAGCCTTGCACGGCTGGAGCCCTCCAGATGTGCAGACCTCCACTCCCCAGTTTCCCTAGCTGCCGTTAGCTGATCCCTCCCTTTTTAGCTGAGGAGTATCAAGAAGGCCGTAGAGGTGGGATCTCTGGTGCTTTAAGCTCCGGTTCTCCTGGTGGACTTCTTGGAACAGGACAGAATGAGAGGTCATCTCCTCTTTCCCCCACTAGCTAAGCCTCCTCTTCCTCCAACGCCGATGTTGGGATCCAGTCGCTGTTCCTCCATTCCAAGTATCCGCCTCGTGGTGCCTCCCTCGCTTCAGGAGCCTTCAAGAACCGAGCGAGCCCTCCTGGTCCCACAAGCCAAGGCGGAATCCACCCCTTAGCGTTGCTCCTTTTGGATCCCTAGGATTCAGTCAGGGTTTGGCTCCCGAGAGGTTTCTGGCGGGCAGGCGTTCTCTTTTTCGAAACGTTTTGGGCAAAGGATGGTAGCTGGCTTCTTCCTTTTGACATATATTCTTGAACGGGGAGTTCACCACCGCCCGGCCTTGCTAACGTTACCTTTTTTCTTCTTTTTTTGTGTCTTTCTTTTTTTTCTCTCTTCTCTGTTCTCTTACATGGTTCTGACGGATCATAACACACCGTTGGCGGACGCTGTGTCGCTCGACCACCAAACCTGGGGGTGACCGTTGGTTCGGGGACTTCAAAACGGTGTCCAACTAACGTGTTTTTTTGGCTCTCATTGAAATTAACACATTTGGGGGAATTGTTTTACCTTTCTCTTCCCTTTTTTTTCCCCCTCTTTTGGGGTGGGATGGGGGCGTGGTGTCCTTCCCCCCCCCTCCTTTTCGTTCTTCTTTAGATCATCCAGCGAAGAAGATGAAAACCGGCGAGAAGGAATTCGGACTGGTGGCCTATGCCGGTGACTCCTCGGACGAAGAGGAAGACCACGGGGGTCTTAAAAATGCAAGTAACTACTCACAAACGTGGAGATTAGGGTACCAATATCCTTCCTCGCAGCAGCGGGCGAAGCAACAGATGCCATTTTGGATGGCACCTTAGATCCCTCCCGTCGGTCATCCGTCTCAAGCAATAACGCATGTATTCGATCAAACAGTCTTTGCAACATGGACCTCGCCTCTGCTCTCTGCACATGCTTTTGAGACGCAGTACGCCTCTTTCGTGGCCGGGCTGTTTTCCTCCCCCCCCTCGCTACGTCTGCGGTAGGGAGCGACTTTAAAATCGCCGGCTTCTTGGAACACAATTGCCGATATCCGTGTTTGTGTGATCCTTGGAAGGAATGTCCTTGTCTTGGCGTTTCCTCCTCCACCTTCTTGGGCATCTCTCGGGGCCGTCGGAAGAGGCGCCCGCCAGCTCGCCGCACCACTTAACCAGCTGACGTTCCATGTTTCTTCCTCTCTGGAAAAGGAGAGTTTTTCAGTTGCGCGTAAGATGAATCCTTGGCTGGATAACCTCGACTCTAGACTCGCCTCTTTTAGAACGTGTTTCTTTGTTCCACCTCAGCATCCTTTTATTTTTTTTTTTAACTTTGGAAAATGCAGCTTTCCTAGCTGTAGGCACTGTTGGCTTCCGTTGGAGTTCTTTGGGCTGGCTGAATAAAATCTTCACTTTCTTGGCCTTTCTCCATCGTACCAAGCCACCTTAGGCAGGGAACAACACCCGTGGCTTCCCAACACGGGCGATTCAGACAATTCAGATGTAGAATTGCCCTCTGTGTTTTTCATCCTGGCACCCGCCATCAGCATGGAGTTAATTTTGGCATGGTTACAATCTCCTTTCTGTTCCAAAATGCAAGTGGCACAACCAACTTTGTTTCATGGTGGTTCCCCCCCCCCTTTTTTTTTTAAACGTATCTTCGGGAATTGGTATAATGCTGTCCTAGCCGAAGAGATAAAATTCTTAAGATTGTTTTTATAGTGGTTCAAAACTAACTGGTTTTCGCCCGGACGTGCGGGGCTGCTATGTGGCAAACATGTTTTTTTGCACGATGGAATACGCAGCCTTGGGAGTGGGGACCACGGAAACTCAACTTTTGCTGTGTGTTCAAACCACAAAGGAATATTTAAAGTAATTTGGATCAAGTGTCAGGTTTTTTTTTTTTCCAAAAAACGATCTGGCAGGTTTGCTTGGCCTGAAACCAACCAACCTCCCCCCAAATGCACCCTGTTCTCTGATTTTCTACATGTTGTAAATAAATTGAACCATAATTTCACGATAAATGTACAAATGTTCTACTCCCTTCTTGCCTGTTTTCTTTTAAGGCAGCCTTGCGAATGTGAGCTCGAGTTTCTAGCGAGCCGTAGCTTCGCCCCGGCTTTGTCATTGTGGGTTTAATCGTAGTTTGTTTGGGGAAGATTTTGTGGGGGAGAGGCTGGCTGAGGAACTTGGGAAGAGATTTTCCAAGGTCTGATTTTAAATTTCTTCAATGGGGTGTGCTCCAAGTACATGGAAATTATAATTTTCAGCATTCGCAGCCTGGGAGGACCACCTTAACAGAATTCTAATTATGCGTTGGGCAAATATATTGAAGCCGAAAAAAAAAATCCGAAGAGTCTGTCTCTTGAACATGCACAAAATTGGGGTTCAAACATCAGATTACACCATGGCCTGTTGAAAAACCAACACACGGCTGGGTTCACCCTGCAGGAGAACCCAGAATCGGACAAATGTGGCTGGGGGCTGTGTGTCAACCCAGCCACGACGTCGTTCCATGCCAGATTTTCTGTCCCTTTTATTCTGTGCTTGCTTTTTGGGCAGGATAAATAGAGCAGTTAGGGTTCTTTCAGCTGAGCATCATCCGGTTCCTTCATCATAAATCATTTATTAAATTTATATGCCACCCGTGGCATGTTAGAGCTACGTGACCTCTGTGAGTTTTCTTCGCAGCCAACAGCTTGGATGATTGATGCTGAATTTCCACTCGTAAACAGGTTTGTGCTTCATGTCCACCGATGTGCAGAGCAGGGTTTCCCAACCTCAGCAACTTTAAGAGGGTGGACTTCAACTCCCAGAATTCCCCAGCCTGTATGTGCGGACTTCAACTCCCAGAATTCCCCAGCCAGCATGCTGGCTGGGGAATTCTGGGAGTTGTAGTCTGCACCTCTTAAAGTTGCAGCTGTGCCCAGGAGAACCTAACTAGCCTAGGATGGTGTCCCACGTGAAGCCAAAGTCAGACAAGACCGTTTGGGCCATATTTGCTCAGCATCCTGGTCTGCCAGCCAGCTGACCCCATTTTTAGCCCTGCATGGCAGATTCTGGAGGGAGTCCACCCCCAGGATCGTGAGCTGCTGTGGTTTGCAGCCTGCTTATCCAGATGCACGGGGTCAAGATGCCTGCATCCTAGGTCAGCCAGTTGGAATTATAACAAAAAGGGAAAAATGGGTTTTTGCAGGGGAGCCTCAATTTTGGCTATTTCTGAATCTTCAGCTGCGGAAGGACAAAGAGGGACCGGGATCTGTTGCAATGCGGACGTCCGGTATAAAAGCGAAAGCCACCGTCTGTTTAAAGTCTCGAGCAGCCTTCCCTTTCCCCTCGC